GCTTCCATGTGTCAGAAACTCACAGCCAGCTAAGGAAAGAGTTTTGAACAATCACCCAAAAAGGGTTGGCAAATACTGTGCTACTTCCTCAGCAGGCGCTTATTCCACATAGGAGTTCCTCTCAGTACAGAGCTGACATAGTCCTTGATGGGATGCAACCCAAAGAGACCCGGACTCAGAAAAGTGCTTTCCACACAGAACAATATATTTGATGCTTTGTACAGTTGTGGCATAAGGGAAAATAAATTTGGAACAGTCATGTCAAAACCCTTACCCTCATTGAGCACTGCACTGCTAAAGCAGGAAAAATTACCACTGATTTCACTTTTCTGAGGTCCCAATCAAACCCTGTATTTATCATCAATCAAGGCAGCTGGCAACTGCTCTGTCTGTTCCTAAATTCCTTCAGATATTCCAAGTTTCTTTCGCAAATGAACTTCCTCAGAGCAACACTGCCCTCGTCTGCTGAAACCAGAAACTGCCACAGTTTAAGCTGATCGACTTACATGCCAACATTTCCATAGTTAATAAGCATTTACTACACTCTTCCCTTTCAAAAATGAAGCAGGATCTGTCCTAAGCATTCAGAGCGCCTGATCTGATCAAAGACAGGAAATTCAGCTCATTTTGTACACATCTGTTACTTTTGTCAGGATAACTAAACACTAGGCTTAGCTTAAATCCACCTGCTGCTGAGTTCTATCCTGTAAGTTGAGAGGAAGAAGATTAACAGTTTGTCTCTAAAGAGAAGTTTTGTGAAATAACGTAGACCCTCCTACCTTTCACAGAGACCCAACGAGTGACTTGCTGATGGCCATGCAGGAAGCATGAAAAGGTGAAAAAGAAGTGTTCCTTTTCCCTTGATCCGTGGTTTTATCACTGAAGAACATCTCTTTTCCTTCCAGGCAGGTCTCCGTGTAAGCTGAGGAGTGTCAGGAATTTCAAATAATGAACATCTTTCAGGCACCAGTGGGCCCAGCTCCTTCCTCTCTCCAGGAGTCCTGAATCCATTCACGTAAATCTGCAGTAGGAGGGAACAAAACACAAGTGTCAAAAGACACAGCTCTCCCGGATCAGCCCAGGATCCCTTCAGGAATTAATCATTCCCTCTTGGGGTAGCAATTCTCCTGGAAGTTTACTAAAAAAAAAAAAAAAATCATGAACAAATAAATCAAAAATATGGCTTTCCTATACTTAGCTACAATCAGCTGGGGCTGACTGTAACTTATCCATCTCCCCAGCTCTGGAAAATGTCAGTCTGGTATCTAAAAGAGGAAATAACAGGAGGGAAAACATGTTGAGGCTCTGCATGGTATCAAAGGGATTGCAATCGTCAACTAACATTCAAGAGGTGCTCCCAGAGAAAAATTCCTAGGGCTACACAGGGAACCTCCACTCAGCTTCCCAGTTGGATTTGAGCTCATCTTCATTCCAAACCACAGAATAAGCTTGTTTGTCTGGATAGGCCTGAGGTAAAAATGTGAAAAATCAGACAGAGAATGGGGAAAACAGAGATCTGAGAGTGAAAAGAAGGAGCAAAACAGAGAAACAGAAGTAACCTGTGAAATCAATGAATCCACATCCTTCTAGTGTTGGAAAAAGCACTTGTCTTTGAAGCCTGAAAGGAAAGAACTTTATTTGGAGAACAGGAAAGAAAATCTCCATTTAATATTGCCTCCAGCACAGGACTGCTGTGGGTCACTCAGCTCCTCAAAGCAAACTGAAAAGCAACTAGGCAAGGAGAGGAAGGGATCTGTCCCTCTAAGGGGAGCACGAGCACTGCCACAACCCAACGAGGTGAACAAAGCTGTTTGAACTCAGACCTGCACGATTTCCCCCTCTATCTGAATTCCCATCTATCTGATGTCACCATTCTGCTGAAAACAGAGTTCCAGTCAGGAACCAGGAATCACAAAAGAGTCAGCACAACCGTACAACGTTCCCAGCCCAACCATTCATGCCAGTTAGAACCTTTAACCAACTCTGAAGTAGCTGGTGGGTTTGGCCCAGGTATGTGAGTAGCCTTTGCTGGCATAAATCACTCCAATCCCCTCCTCTGAAGGAGGAACGGATTATTTTAAACACAAGCAGTTGACACTTGCATCTCGATGCCTTTTCAGAGGCACTCCCAAACAGGAGGAAAGCTACACAGGAATTTGATCCTAAGAGAGTTATTCTGTTTCAAGAATGACCGGGGCTGCTGGGGGCTCCAGACCTGGGCTCCCAAGAAACAAGAGATAAAAAAAGGCACCTGCAGTCAAGACAGGTGGTGTTCTGCAAAAAAATCCTTGCCAGGATCCCGATGGGGAAAAGATATCAAGTTTCCTGGTGAAGCCAGACTTTGAATCACACTTGGGGGAGAAATCGAGCCCTGGGTACAGCGTTTATTTGCTCTAATTCATGCACATGATCGGCTCCTGAGGGAGGAGTTTGTTCCCACGGCTACCGAGGGAGCAGAGGGGTGGAGTAAGGAGCAGGTGGCTCCCGGCAGGGTTTGGGCAGTTGGATTGCCGGCCCACAGCATGGAAAAATCATGAGGGGAGGCGGAGTGATGAGTTCCTCCCCTTTCCCAGCCCCACAATGAGGAGCAGAACTTCAGTGCCCCATCCCAAATCCCGGAGAAACAAAGCCCAGCACTGCCTGCCAGAGGTAGGTGCTGACCCCCTTCCAGGTGAGTTGACACCTTTGTGTTAACATGCTTTGTTAACACCTGGGACTGTTGGAAGATTAAAATATCGTTTGAGGATATCGTAGAGTTTTAGGATATTGTACGGTATTGTATTTACCTAAATACTCTTATCCCTGTAGATAAGAAAAATCTTTTTGTTGCTGCCTTTTCTGGGTGGTGCGACAGAAGTCCTTTCTTCAAGCTATTATCCACTTGGGATTGCAGTGCAGCAAGGAGCATGGAGAGCCGAGATCTGTTTTCAGCTGGTTAATTCTTACTTTTCTCCTTTTCTTTCAGCACCAGGTGGATGGTTTTTTTTTTCTTGTAAATGAAAATTATGTGGTACCCTTGAGGAATAGTTACACGTTTTAATTCTTAGTCAGATATTTAAATAAATTAACATACCTGTCTGCCTCTTGAGTTTTCTCAGACTGAATCTCTCCAGCTCAGTTTTGGGCCCAGTTCATACACCTGTTCCTGGAAACTTGTATTAAGGTGGTCTTTTGAAAATAATCTGAAATGAGGGATAGCCTAGGACACCTGTGTGTTCATTCCTGAAATCGAGATCCAAAATGGCACAGTCAGACATGTAGCTTCCTCTGCTGAAGTAACCACCTCTTGACTCCACACCCTCTCCCTCACCTTGAAAATAACAAGACAACACAGAAAGTTGTCCTCTCTGCCCAGACTAGTGTAAAAATGAAAATATTCCAGCTTTTATTACTGAACTGGATTCAGGGCAAGATACCTTTGAATATTTTGCTTTTGACCCTCTGGGCTTCTCTTTGGCGGGAGAAAGTCCCCTCACCCGACTTCTGCCTTCAGTCAGCTCATGGTCACCCCTCCAAAATGTCCTACCTTACTGGCCAAATACCATGTGGAAAATAATCCAGGCCCTTCCCTATCCCAGTGAGAGGACTTTTGTCTCCAGCCTCAAGCACCAGCATCGCGAAACCACCTGGGACCCCGGACCACAAAATGGTGCCCACGCCGTGAGGGGACAGCGGCCATGTTGGGGCTGGGGGCTCGGCGCCGCAATTCCCGGCGGTGCCAGGGGCCTTCCATAAACAGCCGGCGGCTCGGGATGGCCCCTTCCCGCGGGGGAGCAGGCGGGAGGAGCTTGGTGGCTGTCCCCAGGGTGGGCTGGGTCGGCAGCAGCGCCCTGCGGAGCTGGGAGCCCCGGGAGCGCTGAGGGGACGGAGCCGCCGGGCGTCCCTCACGGCGGGAAGCGGAGGCGGGAGAGCCGCGGGGCGCGGCCCGCCCGAGGGGAGGCGGCTCCGGGCGGCGCCTCGGAGCTGCCGTGGCAGGGCTGAGGGGTTTTTCTCCTTTCTTCGCGTTTCTGGCCCCTCAGGGTCGGACTCTGGAACTAAGGTGTTATGTGTAGCAGATACAATTCGCGCCATTTCTAGTATGATATATGTGATATTGAATATTTGTTGGAGTATACACGTCTGTATTAGGAGTCCCCCCACCCTCGCAGGCAAGACCTGGTGTATATTAGAACCCGATTTACAAATAAATCTCGCTGGGAGATGGGCCATGTCTGGAGAGATAGTGGACGCCCAGGTGCTCGCTGATCATCGGGTGAACGACCTGAGATGGATATCATGGAAATCCTCGGGCAGTGTTCCCGTAAATTTCATCAAGGGATTCAACAACTCCGGACACTGAGTTGTTCTTCCTCATCACCAAAAAAGAAAATCTTATTAACCTATGGACTCTGAATGGAAGAAAAGACTGACTGCCGAAATCTTGGCCTCGGGCGGAATTTTCCCTATAAAAACCGCTTGTGCCAGGATGGAGGTGTGTGGGCATAGAGGGAACCTCTGCTGAGGCTGACTCCTTGTTGCACACCCAGGGCCGACCCCGGGCTCGGCTCTGTTCTTTCCTTGTGGCTGGCTAGATAGAATTTGATTGCAAAATAAATATATTTTTCATTTTGATTTGGCTGGACAAATTTTCATTTCTAACAAAGGGCTATGGTTTTCTCCTCAGTGTGCCCACAGGAAGCACCCCCGAGGCAGCTGTGTCTGGTAGAGGGGTTTGCTGAAGGTGTTAAGTTAGCCAGGTATGGCAGGTGCTGCTGGGGCTGCCTCTTGGCCTGTGGTGTGGTCGAGTCACACAGGAAAATCCAAGTAAACTGAGCAAGAAACCTGTCAATACCTGATTTAAAACTGCCACTCAGATTCTTCTTCTTTCCTTCCCCCTTTCTCTCTCTTTCCTTCCCCCTTTCTCTCTCTTTCCTTCCCCCTTTCTCTCTCTTTCCTTCCCCCTTTCTCTCTCTTTCCTTCCCCCTTTCTCTCTCTTTCCTTCCCCCTTTCTCTCTCTTTCCTCCTCTTTTTCCTTTTTCTTATTTTTCTCTTCTTTTTCTGCCTGCATCTGGGTTCGCCCTGGCAAACCAAACCAGAAGATTTGGAAAAGGAGGGAAACGTATCTCCCCTTAAATAACTTCAATTCCTCCTGCGGTTTTAAACTTAGGTGGGCAAGAATTAATTTTGTTATGTAAAGTTGACTCTTAATAGATTAAAAAGTAAATGCACATATTTTTCTTCACAGGTGCTGTTCCAATGAGCAAGAATATCCAGGAACTAAGGTAGTACACAGGATTTGTTTGCAGAAAATTCCTGTCCCTGCTATGTGTCTTTATTTTTCCCCCAAAAGGTAGAGCTTGATTTTAGTGGTTTTTATACACAGTTGTATATCTAATATTTCAAAGTTTTTCCCACAGAAGGGTCATAAATGAGTTTGAAAATTGATGGCAAACTGAGATTTGATTTACTGATTGACTCAGACTGATAAGTCAAACTGACACCACACCCTCAGAAATGGAGCAAATAATCCATTGCCTGATGAATTCCAGTAAAACAAGACAGTGTGAATTGGCTCAGGTTTCCTTCCTTTTGGTTTTCTATAAGCAAACTCTCCTCTTATTCTACAGTTTCTCTCAGAAAGGTGGAGATGTGCAGAAGAAGCTGCATGGAGTGAGTTGAAATTTGGGACAGCTTCTTAAATTTAGGTGAGTCCATGTCACTGTCGAGTCTTTGGACAGTTTCACCAATACCATTTTGAGCAGCCTCTTTTTGATTTAGGTCATGTCTTCAGTATTTTGGTTGGTTTAGTTTAATTGTTTGTTTGTTTTCTTCTTGAGACCAGTGATCTGTGTGAGGAAATCCATTTAAGTCTGATTGGCAGAGCAAACTGATGGAAATGCAACTGGAAAGAGATGCACTTCAGGATAGCAGGTATGAGGGCTGAGACAGATATACCATGGAGGGTGTCTGTATGAGCTTTCAGAGGCACAGCAGCATTCCTCAGGGAAAAGCTTCCCTCCTGGAATAACACTACAGCACTCTGGGGTTAGAAAACAACTCATTATTTAGCTGTAAAAACCAGCAGTTAATCAACTGAAGTATTACATCTGTGAGGGTAAAACTCCAGGTGAATCCTGTTCTCTAATTTTATTTTACTTCTGTTTCCAAATTCAGACAAAAGGAGTCTCAGAGCCAAGAGAATCTACAAATACAGTTAAAAAATAGTACTGGAGAGCTGGAAGCTGCCAGCAGTGGGACCGGGTGCTGAGGGAGGCTGGCAGCCAAAATGAGCATCTGACACAAGTGCTCCACAGCCAGGAGGAGTTACTGCTGGAATTACCTGGCAGCCTAATGGACTGCAGAGACAGGGGCAGGCAGGAAGCTCTGTGGGCACGGGGACATTGCCAGCCTGAGCACAGCATTTTGTTGTGTCCTGCAGGATCTGGACTCCCAGGTGTCACACCTCAAAGGAAAGCTAGTCCTGATATGTGAACAAAGTTCTAATTTTCTTTCTGACTTTTAGGAAATGCATTTGGAAACTCCCTGAGCCCCCTTCTAACCTGGCCTCGGGAAAGGGTTATGGCATAAAGAGGTGCAAATGGCACCTTGCTCATGGTGGAACCAAAAGGGAGGAAATAATACTTTAGAATCTGCTGTTCACCCTGCCTTTCTTTCAGGGCTTTGCTGTGTCATCTGTTCACAATAGGTGGAGGAGGAACTTCAGTCACTGACAAAAGAGTCACAGATCCGAAGAGAACTGCTCCAACAACATCAAATGAGGTACACATTCTCTGTTTTTTTATTCAAAAAGCATATCCAGACATTTTTCACGTGTTCCACAGGGAGTTCCTTTGTGATGATATGGTATTTGGAGTGGGGTGACTAGGGGGTAGGAAGCAATGTTTTTGAGGACTTCAATAATTACTCCAATAAAATGTTTATTTGCTCATAACTTGGTGCTGCTTTTGCCTTTCACGCTGTTCATCTCCTGGTTTAGTTACTGCCACAAAAATTCTGTTTTGGAAGAATCTCTGCACCTTACTTTTCTAAGTGTCACTCAAGTGTGGAATGTGTTGGGACATCAGTTCCACCATTAAAAGAAGACTGACAGTAATTTTGGTAGTTAAATCAGCTTTTTCTTGCTGCTTTCACTAAGAGTTTTGTCCTTTCTCGTTTGAGAGGTCCTAATTTTTGCCCCACCATCCACTTGAGTTACATAGTAACCCCTTCAAAGTGGAATTATCCATACCTTGATACTTAATGACTAGGTTTCTGACAAGTGAAAGAAATTACTTTTTGCCAAGATGAAGTAATAGCCGGTGTTTTCTTTTGGGAAGAGGACTGAGCAGCTAAGAAATGAGCTTGAGCACGAGGTGGCAGCACTGCCTCGTAAAGCTGGCAGCGCCTGCAGCTTGCAAGTAGCATCCAAAGCCTGGTGGAGACAGGTTGTTAAGTCTGGGCTTGGAATATAGTGTAGGAAATGTTTAGAGTAACCTTAATTGGAGAGAAATCTTATGGTGCTCCTACACTCCTCTCTCTGCCCTATTGTTTTGCTTTCTCAGTGCTACTAAGTGAAGCACTGGTTGCACAGACTGTGAAATGAAAAGGGACCAAAACAGAAACCCCACAAAACCACGCAAAATAGAGGAGAGAGAACACATCCACGTGTTAGGCAGGGTGAGAATGAGGAAGCTGAGGCTGCTTCTCCTTTGATGGTTCTTAAAGTTTCAAATTTTTCCACCTGAAACTTCCCATAGAGAACAAGCAAGAATCCCAAATTTGGTGCATCCACATCAAGTCTGTCACCTGGAATCCAGAGTTTGTCGGCTCTGTTCCCAGCTGGGAGAAGTGAAGAGGATCTATGGAAATAAGGATGGATTTACCTGTTAGCACTGTTTCACTGGTGCCAGTGAAACTGAGTGTGTGGAGATCTGAAATGTTCCAGAGACAGGAAGGAAGTCTCTTGATGGGGAATTGCTTCAGAAAAACTGTCTGGATAAATTACAGGGACAATTACATTATCTTAAGTGTGGCACATTAGAATATCTTTATTTAATAGCCTTGCAGACTGGTCCATCATCTCATCCATTGGCAGAAGTTGCCTCCTTTCAGAGAAAGTGAACACTGCTTGGTACAAAACATGTGTGCCTGGAGATTTCTCAGTGTAGCCACAGTGAAGGAATAGTCCTCGGTGGAAAAAAAGGACTTTTTTTTTGTAGGGCCTAGAAGAAAACCAGAAGAAATCAAATGTACTGTTGAAATAGAATGCTTTAAGATAATTATTCATGAATACTTGCCTTTTTCTAAGTCCAAGACTTGAAAAGCAGTTGCACTTAGCTCACTCTGAGACAGCAGAAGCTCAGATAGACCAGGTACAACATAGCCATGGAAATCCAAGTGACCAGATTCATCAATTCTTGGTAAAAACAAATGATAGTATTGAAAAAACTTGCCTTCTAAAAGTCTCTCCTTACTTCTAGTGTTCAGATTTGCACCTTGCTTTTTCCCCTTTTTAATTAACTTTGAGGTTACTTATAACTAGAAATTAGAATTGGCTGTGAAAGGCCTTTGCCCATAGTGATGAGGAACATTCAGAATTAAGACTTAACTTTGTCATAAATTTAAAGCCACAGAAACCTATGCAAATCATATAAAGATGCTGAGCTACCTCCACTTTAACCTCACAGGTTAAAGGATCCCTCTGTTAAGGATCCTTGGTCCTTTAACACATATTTTGTAAGGCTTATCCAATATTCAATCAGTAAACAGCAGCAGAAGTTATGACAGAAGTTATTATTAGCAGAAATAACTATTAGTAATTCTCTTTGGGCCATGTTTTAAATTTATAGTGTTGAAATGAGTAGCTCTGAAATGTGTGTGTTAGTGTTTTTAACATTATTTACATTTTAAATTATCATTAAGAGAACAAAAAAATCCTGAATTTCTTTAGGAGAGAGATGACTTTAATTTCTCATAGATCAAACTCCACAAAAAAGAGACAGAGCTAAGCCTAGAAAAAGAGTGATTTTGGGATCAGAACACAGAACAGCATCACCATGGAGCAGCTCAGGAGGCAGCTGGACAACAGAAACATGCAGCTGCAGAGCATGGAAAAGGCTCTGAAGGAAATGAGGATGGAGTGTTGCAGACAAATGCAGTGCCAGGTTGCTGGTTTTGACTCCAAACCTCCAAAATGAGATTTTGTATATTTCCAGGAAGTTTAATGCTGCCAGATCTACCAAACAAATTGTTGAATTTGGTATTTTCAGCTGTGAGCACGTCTGTAAGAGTGGCTAGTGAGTTCAAGGCCTTCATAATGCTTTACTTCATGCAGTATTAAATGAAAACATTGTCAAGTTTGTGTTTATGAACCAGTGAGTGCTGTGTCAGAATTCCTTCTGACAAAGTAGGCACTGCCTTTACACTCCTTACATTTCCCTTTTTTCCAAACTTCAGCTCCTCAAAAATGAGCTGTAATTAGGTAACCTGCTTTGCATTATGAATAATGATCCAGTTGATTCCTTTATTTTCTACCAAACCACAGGCTTGAGCTAACTCACACATAATTAGTTTTCTGAATCCATTATTTTTTGTTGAAAATTCTCCCACCAGGAAATTCACTCTTTTCTTCTGTTTGTACTTTGCACTGTTACCAGTTTCTGAATCACAATTGCTTGTGGTTCAAATAGTGCATATTGCTGCTTGCAGGAATTAAATCAGTAATAAATTATTCATGTAATTGTTTCTTCCCCAACTTCAGAGAACAGCCAGTTGAGTTTTATCACTTAAAATTCTTTAATTTAGCCTTAAGTGCTCTGAATTTTCTTGCCAGTTGATTATTTTTTTTTACATTAGTTTAGCATTTTTCATTTCCTGTGTTTAAAAAACCAATATTCCATTCATTTATTAAAATGGAGGGAGAGAAGAGCCAGAGCATCCTGACCTAATTTTTCTGTACAACTGAGGTGTACTACAGAAAAACAGAAGTGTGCCAGGACATTCAAAAGGTAGAAATAAACAGATCTCTTGGTTGATGGTATTGTTATTCTTCAGATGGCTGCAACTGAAGAAAAAAAATGAAAGCATTGGAAGAATCTCCTCTCTGACTGTGCAACTGGACATGATCAAGCAAGGACTGCATAAAGTCAGGGAGGTCTGGCAACCAAACAGAGGGATTTGGAGGCTGCTGAGCAAACAGCCTCAGATCTGGTGGCCTGTCTGCAGGAGAAGGAGAGAGCCCCTGGGGCTAGCAGGCAGGAAATCAGGGAGCTGCCTTGCCAGCTTGGCAGCAGGATGCAGGAACTCCAGCATGCGAGGAGTGAAGAACGCTGCTTACACAAGGTGCAGTCGGAGTGTGAGGTGCTGAAACTGTGCATGTTTTCATCCCAGCTGAAAAAAGAAATAAATGACCGGAAACACAAAGCAGAAGAGCTTAAGGTGTGCAAACAATGCTATATTTGTGTCTCTTTATGACAGTAAATGTTTGATAGTTTTAAATCTCTGCTTTAATATGCTGATACTGTGGTTTTGAAGAAGGTCAGGCAATGCCACTGGAATTCTAACAGCACTCAGCGGGCAGAGGAGGATAATATTATAACATTACCACTAGCAGTGAATAAATCTCTGCTGAAAAGCAGCTGCCAAAAGGCTGGAATGACCTCAGTGAGATGAGTGTCCACGCCGGAGCAGAACCAGAAATACAAAGTGCTAGTGAGAAGCAGCAGACAGGCAGCACTCAGAATTCCAAACTGAGAACACTGGTTATTTCTCAGACAAGAAATACAGGATGTTGTAGTCCCATGCAGGTCAGTATCTTCAGAAGAAAAATCACTCCAGATGGAATTTCATTCTCTTTGGTGAGAAGGCATTTGAGTGCACATGGTGGGGGGTGCTGCTGTAAGAGAATGGCAATCATCTTCATGAGCTACACCTGGTAAGGTTCATTATTCTTTAAAGCCATCAGATCCAGTTCTGCTGCACTCTTTTTGCCTGGATTAGCAATTTTCACACAAATAGTTGGTCTGTTTCACTCTTATTTTCTTTCTTGCCACAAACTGGGATTTTAAGTAGTGATATCCACACATCTTTGTGGTTATTTTATATAATTATGTATATTACACATAATTGTTTTTCTTGTAAGCAGAGCGCAAAGGATGAAAAAGAAGCCAGAATAGGTGAAATGGAGGCCAGGCTGA